CCACCCCAGACCCCTCATAGCCCCCCCTTCCGATAGTCCGGCATATCTGATAATCTGGCACCCCCTGGGTCCCAAAGATGCCGGATTATCAGAAGTTTACTGTACCTACTTATAGATCCCTTCATTTGGGACATAGCCCTATAGTCTTAGTCAGGAGCAGGCAATAATTTTCACAGGGGGGTCATTTCATGAATTTTGGTACACCCCAGACCCCTCATAGCCCCCCCTTCCGATAGTCCGGCATATCTGATAATCTGGCACCCCCTGGGTCCCAAAGATGCCGGATTATCAGAAGTTTACTGTACCTACTTATAGATCCCTTCATTTGGGACATAGCCCTATAGTCTTAGTCAGGAGCAGGCAATAATTTTCACAGGGGGGTCATTTCATGAATTTTGGTACGTGGTCACAGGCTGGCTCCATTCCCTCCCCCTGAAAAATGGGTGGGGCCTTAGGTGGAAAGGGTGGGGCTGCAGCTACAGAGAGAGTGTGTGTGAATGTGAAAGAGAGACTGTATGTGAGAGACAGACTTTGTGAAGCTGTGTGGTACAGAGGCAGTGTTTCACAGATGGGTGTGTGAGACAGTGACACAATGTGTGAGAGCTGGCTGCTGTTGGGTAAGTTTGAAAGAAACCATGCTCTTTCTCTTTAAGACCGGGAAACCTGACCGTCTCTGTCTCTCCCTTCCCTCAGTCTGCAGAGTTGAAGTATGGGGGGTGAGAGAATGAGAACGAGCACTGGAATTTTAGAAACAGTGCACTGCCTCTCAAGACAGGAACGCCTTTGAGTCGTCATTCATGCTTCAGATTGGAGCAGCTGCATTGTGTATCTCCTTCTCCATGACCTCTGCTTTGCAGAGATGGGGTACAGGGGCAGGACCAGACCCAGACTTTAGCACTCCCCTTTCCCTTCCACCTCCATCCCCTGCTCTGTAAGGCTAGCAGGAGAATCCTAGGTGCATCTCGACTGCAGGCTGGAGCAAGGTGGAGGAGGGGCAGCTGAACACACACTGTGGCTGTAAGTTTGCATGCTCTGCTAATCAACTGGGTGAACCAGAGAGAAAAGCTTCTTGATCCAGATCCTGGGCCTGATTTTGCCCACCTCTGGTGTAGGCAGCCAGTCGCAACAATAATAGAGTCCAAAGGAGCAGAGCCCTACTAGACCTGTAAGTTCTGAAAGTGTGTAGTGGTTGAAGAATGCACTTCCTATGGAACATGCCCACTGAGTAGTCCCCTCTCAAAGTCACTCTTCTCTCTTGTTGTCTGGAGTATTCCACTCTCCTGCAGCCTGTTCACTAATCTTTGCCTGGGCTTCCTAGGTCATTTTAATACACTTTTGAAGTCAGAGCATGCTCTGCGGGTCTGGAGTAGAGATGTAAGCAACAAGCATATGCTTATCAGGTAGTCGAGTAGTGACCCAACTAGTAGCTTCCTTCCCCCCCTCCCCGTTGCTGCCTCTTAAAAGCTGGTTCCCCCCTTACTGTCTCCAAGGGGGGCAAAAGAGGCATAGGCGTAGCGGGGACCTGGCACAAGCCCCTTAAATGTATTAAGAGCCACCTGGTAGCTGTTAATACTTTTTAAAAGCAGATGCACAGCAGGATGGGGGGGACCGGGCGCAAGCCGGGAATCAGCTGATTCTTGTCTTACACCCGGTCCCCAGCTACTCCTCTGCCTTTTAAATATATTAAGATCCTGGTGGCTCTTAATACATTTAAAAGATAGAGCTACAGCGGGGTTAGCTCCCAGGTGTCCCTCTGGAGTGCTCAGCCCATGATCCACCAGTCACAGGCGAGAAGTCGAGTCTGAGCTGAAGAGAGGACAGACACAGCAGATGCTATCCCAAGAGTCAAGGTGTGTCACTCAGATAGTGCCCCTCCAAGCCATCACTCCAATCCTCAAGGTAAGAGGATGCTGCAATGGGCGGGAGTCACTTGCTATTCCCCTTCTTGATGGTGGCTGTGGGTGACGTCTCCATTGCAGACAGCCAGAGCTGGAATTCCTTCAGCTCCAAGAAGGATCCTGAGACTGAGTCCAGGCTCCCTGTTGAGCTCTGGCAGGGTCCTCAGCAAGTAGACCAACCAAATTCATGAATGGTAAAACCAATGAGTAGTTTTGAAAAACAACACTCTTAAGTTACTACACATCTGAAGATGAAATAGAGTATGACTACAGGGGCTCAGTTTGTCCGAGCAAGGCTGTTATTACGCCCAGTGATTTTGATGATAGTGTAAATTGTCATATTTGGTACCCACAAACTCAGGATCCTGATAATAGACGACAATGGATAGATGCAATAGAACAACACAAGACTGAATCTGGATATGGATAGAGCCAACACTATGGCTCCATGGAGTCTCTTGGTATAAGTTTATGATCAAAGAACAGAGATTCAAGTGATAGAGAATGAGAATATTGAAGAGAAATGGTTACCGGTAAAACAAAATCATAACACTTTTTCTGGAGATTAAATTTAGCTAGCCAGTTCTTTGAGTGCTTGCTTATGTCCATTTAGAAGCACGTGTACTGTCACCAGTGAATTTTCCCTCTTTGGTATCTGGTCCAGCTGTAGCACCCTCTGGTACCATATGCTCACAGTATAAGGGACATGGCTAGCTGTGCATACTCTGTTCCTTTTCTGCCCATGTTGCTAGAACAGCTCCTCTTGCTTCAGCAAGGCATTTGTTCAGTGATTATACTCCAATTTAGTTATATTTAGCCTTACTTTTAACAGAGAGATAGTATTCATGTATATAATTAGACAACCCTCCCCCTTTAGTTAACAAGGGCTTCCTTCACTTGTAGGGTTGGGCTTACCCCCGTATCTGGGCTTCAAACCTTTTGCCTCCTGCAGCAAGCTTATTCTGGTGAGCAACTCACACTCAAGTTGTCTGGAGTGTCTGGGAGATGTTCTTGTATAAGAATGTTGCCAAATCTGTCAGGATTTCAAGCCTCATACAAAGAACCAAGGACTATCCTAATAGAAGCAGCACTTGGACTAGCATGAGAGCTTAGCCAATTGGATGTGGCTCTGAGCACCTCAGCTTCAGTGCAGAGCACCCCTCTGGCACCACATGTTTCTTGGCACAATTTCTCCATCTCTGGTATTGAGAAATAAACATAAAAAGCAATGGCTGAGGGGATGCTATCCAGTACCATGGAAAGACAAACAAGGCGAGGGCAGCAGAGTATGTCTTGTTTTGGGCCAGTCCTTCACCCCAACTCTGCTAGCAGCACCATCAATTCTGCCCTGCTTGTGAGTACTGTTGAGTCCAATTTAGGACAGGGTAATCATTTAACCAGTTAACTGTTTTAACTGGTATGTTCATCCATAGTTCTAATCCAGATTGAAAAGTAAACCATAACTTTGAATGTCTTGATGGTGATTTTTAAAATAGTTTGGTACTTAAGTTATTTTATTTCCTAATTTTAGTTCTGTTTAGCAAACTTTATGGTATGTAAATGCTAACTGCAAGGTGGATAAAGTAGTGTGCTTATCTTCATGTCTTTCAGGTGGCAGAACGAGCGCTATACTACTGGAATAATGAGTATATTATGAGTCTAATCAGTGACAATGCAGCAAAGATTTTGCCCATTATGTTTCCATCCTTGTACAGAAATTCAAAGACACATTGGAACAAGTAAGAGACTCTTGTACAAATAATATCTTGGTTAATATATTTAACGGACTTTCTAAATGTTCTTATTGTTACTTATCTGACAGTACTGAACTTTAATTTCAGTTAGGATTAAAATGCTTTGTGTTTGTGAATTGCGCATTGTAGCTTTAGTAAAATCATTCATAGTAGCACTATTTCTCCCAAGATCTTAACAGTGTGAATGGAGATGAGGAAGGTCAAGTGTCACACCACTGTCAGAGAACCCAGGAAATGAATTTGAGAGATTGGTCTTGTTCCTGTAAAAAGTCTGTTTTAGATTTTCTCCTTTTATTTTTGATTACTTATATTAAATAAATTTATATTGTGTAATAGTCTAGTGGTTACTTGACACATATTTGTTAGTTGACCTCTAAACTTTGACTCATTTTTCCACTGATAATTATTCATATTAAAATCCTCTTATTCTTCCTTTTTTCTTCGTCCCTTTCTCTGCATTTGTCTCCTGTTTTCTTTCTGTCTACATATCTCCTTTGATTTTCCCTTTCCAGCTACACAATAGCGTTGTACTCAAAGTACTCCTAATTAGCTCCATTCTGCAGCTGCTTCAGCTATACAATAACTTTGTTTGAGCTACTATGCCAAGAGCTGGTGATATGGTTGTTCCATAGCTCATTGCTATGGAGTGACAGCTATTGATTGGTTGGCCAGTGATGCCAGATCAATCTGCTAGAAACTGCAGTGAAAGATATTCTGAGGGAAATGTATTCAGTAATTGGATACAGGTACTGATATGTTGATTTTAAAAATACAATGTGGATTACTTTGAAAAGAAAAACTAATCCTAAAAAAGATTTATGTTGTGAATAGTAAATATGGATTACTTTCAGTTGTTTTTTCCTCACTTTTTATGGCCATCCATTCATTCTATCCTGAGCATGAGTAAAGTTATGAAATCTAGTAATCTCAGGCTCACTGTGTAGCCCACATGCATAATGCAAATTAACTCTGTAACTGATTTTGTTTCTGATCTGGTGATCAGTAACTATAATAGATTACTTTAATACAGTAAACTTTAATTCTCCAAGTGCTTACTCACGTCGATTTCATTGTAGATGTGCACACTAGGGATGTTAAATTTCAATTTAATCAGCTAATCAAGTAGTCAATGGAATTCCCATCAATTAATTGATAAGGGAGCCTCTCACTGTCCCGCTGCACTTCTCCTTTTGAAATGTACAAGAGCCATCCGTGGGCAGCTCTTGTACATTTCAAAGAGAGAGGAACAGCAGTCAGGACCCCGCGTGAGTGGGACTGCTTCCGTCCCTGCTTGTGCTATTTCCCCTGCTGTGCCTCTGCCTTCCGTATTCCCTCATGGAGACGGTGTTGGGGGGAAACTGGCTTTTAAGACAGCTCCCCCCAGCATCAACTCCTGTCCCCCCCCCCCCTTGGTACCTCTGATACAGAGGCAGAAATTGGGGGGAGCGACTAGTCGAGTACTGACTATGCTTATCAGGTAATTAACTAGTCACTTACATCCCTAGTGCACACACTAACATTCTTGGCCATCTGGAGATTTTTGCCTTAGTGGTATTCACAGGACCAGCTGTGTTGCCCCCTTTGAGTGCTGTGCTCATGTGCTGGTATAGCAGACATGCCGGCCCTCTCAATTTCTTCTTACCATCTGTGGTGCTCAATTGAGTGCTTTTCCTTGCTTGTCAAGGGCTAGCAGTTTCTCATCTTCGACTGTGTTCCTTAAGGCCTTGTATATAGTTATCCTTAGTAGTTTATTAATTGTTAGTAGTTAAGAGCCCAGCAGGGACTCTGCCACCAGTGGTGTCAGTGCTGTTCTCAAACCTAGCAAATCCTGTAACAGGCCTTTCCCTGTTAGTGACCCCCTACAGCAGCTGTCTCAAGTGCCTGGGGAGGTGCACATTAAAGAGAGATTTCAGAGGTAGCCATGTTAGTCTTTTTGATTCAGCAAAAACAACAAGGCACCTTAGAAACTATTTTTTTATGGCATAAGCTTTTGTGAGTTGATGTTACAGGTGCATGAAGTGAAAGAAACTAACGGGGATACAGAGAGCAGAGTGTTACATCAGAGTTAATTAAGTCAGGGTGGGTGTGGATAAGAAGGGGAGAATACCTAAAGTGTAAAATTACTTATTTTAATGAGAGCTCCCAGCTGTGGAGAACCTGCCTCTCTTCAGAGCCTAGCCATGAGGCACTCGGCAGCCCAGACTCCAGCACCCACAAAGCCTTAACTGCCCCCTTCCTCTTTACTATTATGCAGTGGAACATGATGTGGTGCAGCCCTGTCCATTCTGACTTTTTGTCAGAGCTGAGCTTCCCAGGCCCTCTCCTGTGCCTGGGAAAATAGGATCAAGCAGAGTGTGCAGGCTCTAGCCCAAAGAGACTAGGTGCTCTTCTCTCTGAGCTTGAACAAAATGCAGGACAATGTAGTGCTACATTGTCCTGCATTTTTTGCTTCAGCTACCCCAGACTAACACGGCTACATTTCTATCTCTGAGCTTGGGCTTTTTAGAGTCCAGTGGCCCCTACTGGTGGCCAGTAGCTCTGCAGTCCCAATTCTGCATTATGCATTAGCTCAGAATTCCCTCAGGCATAGTTTTAAAGAGCCCTGCTGTTATTGTGATTTGTTATTTTATTTATTTCTACCACTGTGTACATTTGTGGTTATGTTTTCAGAATTGTTTTACATTATGCTGGCATCTCTATATTCATATAGAAATATTTCCAGAATTTCAGTTAACAGTATAAATTTATGTTTATAGTGAGATCTATAATCGTTTTATTTTTTTCTAATAATGCTATTTGTTTAAAATTGTATCAATTTTTAAATTTCTAAAACAATCCTATATTGATACACAATGTTATATAAAGGAGAATTAGAACCTCTAAAGAACATTTTGCAGTAACAAGCAGCACATACTGCTCTAGAGTAAGTAAACTATATTTGAAGCTGCTTAAAACATTTAATGATTTTGAATTTGCATTAACCATACTTGTAGCTAAAATAAAACTTCATTAACTAGTTTTGTCTTCATGTATTCTAAAATAACTAGCCAATTAGCCCATCATATGACATGATTTTAAGGTCTCTCCTCCACGTCGGTCTTCTCTCCTGAGCCTCCGGTCTCTCACTCCGTGTTTCTCTCTCGCCTCCTCTCTCTCTCTCGCCTCCTCTCTCTCTCTCGCCTCCTCTCTCTCTCTCGCCTCCTCTCTCTCTCTCGCCTCCTCTCTCTCTCTCGCCTCCTCTCTCTCTCTCGCCTCCTCTCTCTCTCTCGCCTCCTCTCTCTCTCTCGCCTCCTCTCTCTCTCTCGCCTCCTCTCTCTCTCTCGCCTCCTCTCTCTCTCTCGCCTCCTCTCTCTCTCTCGCCTCCTCTCTCTCTCTCGCCTCCTCTCTCTCTCTCGCCTCCTCTCTCTCTCTCGCCTCCTCTCTCTCTCTCGCCTCCTCTCTCTCTCTCGCCTCCTCTCTCTCTCTCGAGAGTGCGGAGCCCAAACGGCCGCTTGCGCCACTTGCTCCCCCGTGGCAGCCTGGCTGAGCAGCGCAGAAGTCAGCCCAGTGCCAAGGCGGGAGGGGAAGGACATGACTCAGGCAACAGCGCCGCCCAGAGGGAACAGCCAGCATTTCAGCGTTAGTCAGACATTGGGCTACTATATATATGATGTAATTTTCCAGTTGTGTAAGTTATTGGCTTATGTTGACCTGAGCAAAGTTTAAAGTACTGTGAGTTTAAATCTGAAGTTTTCCTTATAGGACAATACATGGCTTGATATACAATGCTCTGAAACTCTTCATGGAGATGAACCAAAAACTGTTTGATGACTGCACACAACAATTTAAAGCAGAAAAACTGAAGTAAGTTTCATATTAAAGTTTCATATTAAACTTTCTACAACAACCTGTTCAGAGAATTTTCATTGTTTACTTTGAAAAGTTACTCTCACTTCAAAAAAAGTTATGCCTGTTTTATTCAACACACAAATCTGAAAATTCACATAGTGAGACTCTTTTGTGTCTCAGTATGTATGAACTATGAAATGTGTTTTAAAATTAAATGTTTAAAATAGTAGTTCTAACCTAATACTGCTGCTGGCATCAATCTTTTGGCAAAATCATTGTTGTGACACTACCAGTCTCATAGTCCAATGGAAGAAAATAACTAGTTTAAATCTTGCTTTTATTTTAGACAACATTATTTTCTATCTGTCCCCTGTATCCCACACGCAAATATTTTTTCAGAATCTTCCAGCATTGTTTTGTGGAGCATGTGCATATATGTAAAAGACATTATTGTATTTTGTCATAAACGCAATGATGAATGTGATATGATTGTTTTAATATGTTGTAGCACACTCTTTGCAACCAAGGAGAAAGCAAGAGATTCCTTTATTTGATAGACTGAGCAGTACTGGGAACTTATTAAATAAATTATTGATAAATAGAAAGAAATATAGTATGGTCAGATAAACAGAGCAGAGATTTGGAAACTTGAACTTTTCAAAGTTTTGTTCCCAAATGTACAACTGACTTGTATGGTGTTTGAATCACTTCTCTCTACTTTAACTTCCACATTTATTTAAATGGGTATAGTAAGTGTACCCAGGTTGACAGGGTGATGGTTTGAGGCATAAATAATTGCTTGTAACGTGGCTCAGAACCTGATTAAAAGAACTGTAGAAATAAATACTATTGTTGGTTGTTCTGTTTCAACATAGGAATATTTATGGGTTTGAGCAGATGTTGACTGGAATCATGGTTTTTAGTTTCAAAGTGAAATGACCACAATTTCTTCCTGTAGCAGTCTTTAAGAACCGGCCAACATACAGTTTTGTAGTGGTTTAACTGTATTTGTTTGAGATCAGTGCAGCACACACTGTAGGATATATGAGCAGCCGAGTGAGTGGGCTGCATGACCCAGTGGTGGGCAGTCCATGTACCATGGGGATTCCACCTGCAGCTAGTGCACCATCTGTTTGCCACACTCCCCCATGAGCCTCTGGCTCACTGGGGCATTGAAGCCCTACACTTCCTGCTCTTCCACCTCCCTCACAGTACTTTCAAAGCACAATGAATCTGCTGATTCACACTCTGCCCTGCTCCTCATCCTCCTTCCAAGAGCTTGAATAGCTACCAGCCACATATATAGGTGCTTATGCTGGTGTATATACATTATTCCTGTAAATGTAAGTGAAAGTGAGCTAGAACATGTAGTATGAAATAAATTTAAAAGTATTCTAGCAAAGTGATGAAAATATTCATTTTTAGCGTCTATGATATATGAAAAGGACTGAGGTTTTTATATGCTATTTTTCGTTTAAAAAAATGTTATTTGTATATTAGAAAATAGCGTATTTGGGTTTTTTTCCTTTAGTGCAGCAGAAATCCTGAGCAACTGAAGGAGAGATTTTTGCTCATTAATTACAAGTAATTGGAGGATGGAGGTATTGATCTAACACAACTACTTGAGAGGACACACTCTTAAATATTTAAAGCTCCCACTCTTAAATATTTAAAACCATATGAAGGCTGAGAGACCTCCCACTGCAGAGTTGAAAACTTGGCCCCACTAAAGTCAACTGAAATGTTGCCATTGACTTCAGCAGAGCCAGAATTTTACACCAATTTTTTGACCTCGGATCTGTTCATCTAATCCTGATTTTTTCTGAGGTAGAAGAGAAGCTGAAAAAAGTTTCCCTTTTCAAAGATCATTTTGGCCTTTTTTACACCACAAGAAAGTCATAAAAGTACAAACTTATTCCCTCCCCCCATGGTTTGCAAGTCTCCTTTAAAGGTACATATCTCAAACAAGTTTAGACAACTTGTTTCCCTTGAGTTGTAATGTCAGTCAGTTTATTGTACAGGCTTAACCTTCCTGGTACAGCACCCTTTGGACTGAATGGTGCTGCTTGAGGGATTTTGCCAGACCAGGGGAGGTAATTTCTGGGCCCCCTGCTGCCAACCCCCTGCCCATCCTGCCCCCAGCCCTCCTCCTGGCTCCTCCCGCAGCCCAGCTCAGCTGTGCAGCAGGCTTCCCTGGCTCTTGGCCCCCCTCCACTGTACTGCATTGGGGTCCAGCCCCCCCCGCCCTCCACCATGCCGGGACATGTTGGCCAGACCAACAAATTCCAGTTTATAGGGGGTGCAACCTGTAATTAAGTGTCCTTATTTTTGTGAGATGCTTCTCTCTCTCTTTTTTATGGCTGACCTGGAACAAAGCTTCCTCAGCTCTCATCCACTTCCTCCCCCAGTTTTGGTCTCAAACACCTAGCAGTGTGTATGGTTTACATATGTATAGGGACAAGCCGTCCATCAAAAACTGGTACTTTGAACTGTTTGAAGATGTATCTAAATAGGTGAACTAGCCTGTTTAAGAATAGTAAATGAGTTACTTATAAATTCACCTAGTTTATTGTAACCTCTGTTGTTTTTCAATTTTCTTTTTTCAGAGAGAAGCTAAAATCGAAGGAAAGAGAAGAAGCATGGGTTAAAATAGAAAATCTAGCCAAATCAAATCCCCAGGTATTTAGAAAAGATTAACATAGTCATGTTAAAACTTCTAGGTTTTTGTTAAATATCAGTGGAGGAACCGACATCTCTCTTATCCTGGAAATAAAACAGTTTCTCTAATACTGTATATGGAAAATCTGCAATAAAATGCTTTTAAAATTTGTAACCTTTCTCTCGTGCAAGTGCTTATTTTGCAAACAAGAATTTCAGACAAGCCTGATCTAGAGTACCTTTTCCTTTCTCTTTTTTATATAAAATATTTCTGTAGAATTGTGTTCTGAAAAGTCATTGTTCAGAGTTGCATAAACAGAGTTTAATGTCGGTTTCTATTGAAAATCTTTATATTGTAAACAAAAGCTTAAACTAAAAAAGGAATGCTGGGAATTGGGAGTGTTCTCTACTAAAAGTAGAATGTCTGTCTAGCAGGAACTTGTGATGTCAGATTTTTTTATTCTGCCATGCTGAGTGAATTAAAGCACTGTTGCATGTCCCTGTCTGTTGTATCCACCTAGCGCTTAGTTTGTGCAGTGGATGTTGTGGGTGAACATGCACATCAAGATGAGCTTTCAGCTAAAAGGAAAACCACCAGTATATGTTTTTCTGAAAGAACAAAAACATTATCTTAAGAATTAACAGGTTATTCTGAAACGGATTTATTCGTGTTCTATGCTTTGTGGTGTTCCTATACTGATATTAATTCCATTTATTAAAAGTCAAATTTCTGGATTTCAATCATGCCAAGGTTTGCTATTGGCAAAAATAAAAAATCTTTATAGATAAAGTTTTTATAAACTCTAAAGGTTTATGGCTGAGTTCAAATGTCTGAGTGTTCTAATGGCTGCACTGTGTGACCAGTTTAATAGTAAAATATGCAGCTATCTCTTTCTAACCAAAAGACATTTTAGAATTACTTTTTCTGATTGACTTCTTGGGAGTGTGGGTGTTACAGAGGAATCTTACCTAACATGGTTATAGAAAATATTTAGTCATTTAAATTGGACATTTTATCAATAGGTCAACTGTGTGAAACTAAATGCATTGTAACTTTACATAAAAGATGTATGTTGAAAGTAGAAAAATTTAAAACTGTGCAACAAAACATACATTATTTAAGTAAACAGATTTTTACTGAATGTACTTTTTGATTAGTGCCATAGGCAATTTTGATTAATATTTGCAAATAATATTTGCAACAGTATATTCTTGTTCAAAATATATTCATTCTTTCGTACAAATGATAAGCAGTAGTGCCTTGCTAAATAACCATTCTGATTTATTCATATTGATATAGTAAAATAATGTAGTAATACAAATGTGAATCTAAGTTTTCCTATTCTTCAAAAATCATTGTGTAACTATGTACATTTTCTAAAACTGAATAACATTAACCTACAGTACTTTACATAGTCTCAGAGGGGTAGCCATGTTAGTCTGTAACTTCAAAGAAATGAGTAATCCTGTAGCACCTTAGAGATTAACAAAAATATATAGCATCATGAGCTCTCGTGAACAAAACCCACTTTATTCTGCTCATCTGAGGAAGTGGGTTTTGCCCATGAAAAGCTCATGATACTAACTATATATATAGTTAGTATCTAAGGTACTATCGGACTACTCTTTAACGTTTGCTTCAGTGATTAAAAAAGAATATAACCAATAAGTTAAATTTAAAAACACAAATTAATTTTGATACTTAAGAAACTATATACAGCATGTCTGCATGCTCTAAGTGCCTTTTGGGGAGATGTCCAAAATTTCTTTCAACATCTATATCTAGTTATCAGTCTTCTAGTATTTGTTTTTACATTCCTAATTTTTAATACTAATTGTTGACAAATATTTCTAATTCTGCTCCTTATGTAAAAATAAAAAAGTGGAACATATTTTTAATTGTAATCATTGTGACTACAACAATTACATTTTTATACTTTTTTTTAATTTTTCTGCTTTGTATCAAGTTTGAAATCAGCTACATATGTTAAGTTACCATTACATGCAATTACTAAAATAACTGTAGAAAATTGTGGAAAAATCTTACTAGGTTTTAAAATTGTGTATATCTATGCCTCTCTCTCTCAGCAATTTTTTTCTTTGTTGATCTTAACAATATTTCTAGATCATCCAATTAAAGATAAAAAGTGTAATGATCAGGATCTCTGCAAACTAGTGCTCTATGTTAAAGTTTAGGTTCTGTAAAGTTTAATTTGACAGGTTTTTTTAGTCAGCAAAGGTGCTGTATTTCTTGTTTTATATTTTTGAAAGAGAAGTACTTATACTTGTCCTTGTATTGTGAAATTATACCATTGGAAAATGTAGTCTCTTTTTAATATTGAGTTTTGTCTTTACAAATACAAACTTGCTCCTCCAACCAAAACCATTATATATTTCTGTTGTACTGATCAGAAAACATTTGACAGTGTGTCTAATGCAATTTAAATGAAATTTAGCAGAAAAAATTAAATTAAATGAGCACTGGCAATTTAGAATTTTATCCTTCCATTTTTAGAATTTAGGTTCACCCATGTTCCTTTTATTTTAGTTAAATTGTATATTTAAATATTGTTTTTCTGCCAAAACTAAAGTAATGAAAACTCAGTTTTTATCTTTCCATCATACTTCAGTTCTGGGAGTATAATTAATTTATTTTTTGACCATTAAAACAAATTATACTGAAGCTAGTCTAAAATTAAGTCTTGCCAACTAAATTCTCTGATTTACTCTTACTATATAGTTATTGCTAACAATGACTATATTTTAATAATTTGCATTTTATTAGTATTCAACATGTAGTGACACCAGTGTGCTGAATAGTCCTGTTGCAATGGAAACAGATGGACCTTTAATTGAAGATTTACAGATGCTAAAAAAAACAGTGAAAGAAGAGGCGTGTCAGGTAAAAACATATGAAAAAAATAAACTTGTTCTCTACAAACTTAATTACAAATCCCTAAATATTAAGCCATTTACCTTTTCTAAAAACAGCACTACCTGTTAACCCTAGGGTTGCCAGATGTCCGGTTTTTGAACCGGACAGTCCAGTATTTGAGTTTTCTGTCCAGGAAACAAATTGAGAAAATACCGGACATATAAATGTCCAGTATTTTCCAATTAGTAAGTTTTATTATTATCATGAGTATCAGTACATAGTTGTGTACTGCCTGGCTGGTAGACACGCTCACACTGCGTGAACGTGTCTACCAGCCAGGCAGTACGCAACTACACAGTAGAGAGGAGCGGGGTGGAGATGGGGGCGGGGCTGAGGCGGGATGCAATCCCCGGGGTCAGACTCG